TAGAAAGGGCCTCTGTCAGAAGCCCCATCTTTATTGACAATGTGTTTTTGGTGTGCAGATGATTACATAAGAAATCCCAGAACTACATTGAGGCCCAGATGGCCATTACACAAACTACAGAGCACTAAGGAGCATTAAGGGCATTATTTCACGCCTTTTTGTGGGAGCGTGTTGAGCTGCATACAATGACCAGTGTAAATGGTGCCTAAGAGGAAGTCTGTGATACATCTTATCACACAAACCCTAGGGCAGTATCATCATGAGTCAACTTAAAGGCATATTGCAGCAACAACACAGAGGTTTGGGGACAAAACTTTCCCCTCAACATGCCTGCTAGAAAAAAAATGAGTGGAATTATTTCTGTATTCCCAGTTCCTATTAATGGAAGAAGAGCAAAGGGGAAGAGAGAAATATGGTAAACTCATAGAGAGTTCACAAAACACGGGTGACACAACTCATTGGCACTGGGCTTGTTTTAGTCTCCAGTTGCAAGGCTCTCGTGTGGAAAAACTGGGGGGCGGGGGGACGGGGGACTTAGTAATTATGACCTGGACCGGCAGGGAAGGATGTTTCCCAAGCTCCGTCTGATGAGATCCCTTGCAGAAGACATTTATATACACTGATATGTCTTCCCGTGTGCATTGAGGACCCTGAAAAGGCTTGAAAGGGCCCAGCCTACTGCAGATATTACATACTGACTACACTCAGCTCTTCGTATCCATGGATCCTGCATCCATGGCTTGAAAATATATTTTTTTAAACAATACAAAAAGCAAACCTTGGTTTTGCCATTGTATATAAGGGACCATATTTGACTACCCATGTATATAATGAGAATGGAGCAAAACACAGATTTTGGTATCCAGGAGTGTCCTGGAATCAAACCCCAGCAGATAACAAAGGTTCACTGTACCTAAAGGTAAAGGTTCCCCTTGACATTAAGTCTAGTTGTGTCCAACTCTGGGGGGTGGTGCTCATCTCAGTTTCTAAGCCTAAGAGCAGACGTTGTCCGTAGACACCTCCAAGGTCATGTGGCTAGCATGACTGCATGGAGCACTGTTACCTTCCCACTGAAGTGGTACCTATTGATCTATTCACATTTGCATGTTTTCGAACTGCTAGGTTGGCAGAAGTTGGGCCTAACAGCAGGAGCTCATCCCGCTCCACTGATTTGAACCACCGACCTTTCAGTCAGCAAGTTGATGTAGATCCATCTTAATAGGACGACTGACCACTGTAGTTTTATATATAGTGTTTTTAAAGTTGTTTTTGTAATTGTGATATATGATATTTTAATGAGTGTATATGTTTTTATGGCTGGAAACCGGGCTGAGTCCCTCAATGAGGTTGAGAAGCTTGGTATAGAAAACTGTGAAATAAATAAATAAATAAATAAATAAACAAGTTCAGCAGCTTAACCTGCTGCACAACTGGGGGCAACCTGTGTTGTTATTTATTTTACTGTATTACAGTTGACTGAAAGATTGGTGGTTTGAATCCAGGAAGCAGGGTGAGCTCCCGCTGTTAGGCCCTGCTTTTGCCAACCTAACAGTTCAAAAACATGCAAGTGTGAGTAGATCAATAGGTACCCCTTCAGCAGGAAGGTAATGGCGCTCCATGCAGTCATGCCAGCCACATGACCTTGGAGATGTTTACGGACAAGACTGGCTCTGAATAATAAAATGAAATTAGAGAGGTAATATTAAAGTAAATAATATTTAATAATAAATACATAATATTATTAATATAAACAAAATAATTTTGCATCATATAATCATTTGTATTCTTAATATTTTAGTAATATAAATAAACAAGATCAAAAGCTGCATTGCCCCTACAATGTAGGCTTTTCCCGGGGAACCTTGGGCTCCCTCCAGCCTGGGCTGAGGGCCAGAGCGGCCTGCTTGCTTTCCTGACCTGCTTGCTGACGCTGAGGACCTCGGCGACGCGGCTGCCGTACTGGTCGTTGCTGGCCCGGTTGTATTCGTTCATGGCGAAGCGGAGGGCCTGCTGCACGCCCTCGTCGTCGGCGGAGACCTGGATGGGCGCCCCCACCATCCGCTGCCCGGTCCGGGACTGCCCGGTGGCCAACGCCACGCCGAGAGAGAGAGCGAACCACAGATCGATCCACCCGAAGAGAGCCATCCTTGCGCGGCGAGAGGAGACCGACTGCGCCTGCCAGACCCGGGAGGGAAGCCCAAGTGCTGCTGCGGGTCCCGCCCAGGCAAGGGAAGGCAAGGGAAGGCGGAGCCTCCTCTCCCCAAACAGAGGGAGGGAGGCCTTCGCCTTTGATCCGCCCCGCCCCAGGCGAGCTGTGTTTTTCCAAGCGAGAGGGCGAGGAGGTTGCTGCTCTCTCTCAGGCCCTGTTGAGTCACTGGGCCACTTCCCCATTGGTTCACCCCCAGGGCAGGTTGACTGTGCTTGACTGTGACTTGCAGCAGAGATGGGCTCCTCTATCTTCCACCTGGCTGTGGAAGTGTAGACCAATTTCCCTGTTGTGCCACCTCTACAAAGTTCTGGAGAGACTTATTTTGCATAGAATTATGGAAAAAAATAGACCCATGTCTGATCCCACAGCAAGCTTGCTTCAGGAAAGGCAAAAGCTGCACATCGCAAGTGCTGAACCTGACACAGCACATAGCAGATGGCTTCGAAAGGCAGCAGATCACAGGAGCTGTCTTCATAGACTTGTCAGCAGCTTATGATACTGTAAACCACCGCCTCCTCCTGAGAAAAATGTATAATATCACAAAGGACTACCACCTCACCTGCCTCATAGGAAACCTGCTACAAAACAGGAGCTTTTTTGTTGAGTCCCAGGACCAGAGATGTAAATGACGAAAACAGAAGAACGGCCTGCTTCAGGGGAGTGTGCTTGCTCCATCCATGTTCAACATCTACACAAATGACCAGCCACTGCCAGAAGGGACAGAAAGTTTCATCTATGTAGATGATCATGCCATTACTGCTCAAGCAGGGAGCTTTGAGATGGTAGAACAGAAGCTCTCTGAAGCTCTAGGTGCCCTTACTGCCTACTACAGCAAAACCGGCTGATCCCTAATCCATCGGCCCTGTTTACCTCTCCGAACGTATTCTCCCCTATGAACCATCAAGATCATTAAGATCGTCTGGAGAGGCCCTGCTCTCGGTCCCACCGGCCTCGCAAGCACGTCTGGTGGGGACGAGGGACAGGGCCTTCTCGGTGGTGGCCCCGCGACCCTGGAACTCTCTCCCACTGGAGATCAGAACCGCCCCTTCTATCCTGACATTCAGGAAACAGGTAAATACGTGGTTATGGAGACAGGCATTCGATGAGTGAGCCAACATATGGATGGAAGATGATGTATAATCGATTTTAGTATGACGATTGACCATTGTAGTTATTGAATATATTTGCTGTTTTAATGTGTTATTGTAATATGAATTATGTTGTTTTACTGACTGTGATTTTATGGTTGGAAACCGGTCCGAGTCCCTCAAAAGAAGTGAGAAGGTCGGTATACAAAACTTTTAAATAAATAAATCTAAAATACAGATATGTGCCTTTCACCTTAAGAACAGACAAGCATCCCGAGCTCTGAGGATTACCTGGGAAGGAATCCCAGCATTGCAGCACACCCAAATACCTGGGAGTCACCCTGGACCATGCTCTGACCTACAAGAAGCGCTGCCTGAATAGCAAGCAAAAAGTGGGTGCTAGAAACAATATCATACGAAAGCTGACTGGCAACAACCTGGGGATCACAACCAGACACAGTGAAGACATCTGCCCTTGCGCTATGCTACTCTGCTGCTGAGTATGCATGCCCAGTGTGGAACACATCTCACCACACTAAAACAGTGGATGTGGCTCTTAATGAGACATGCCGCATTATCACGGGGTGTCTGTGCCCTTCAACACTGGAGAAATTACACTGCTTAGCCGGTATTGCACCACCTGGCATCTGCTGGGAAGTGGCAGCCAATAGTGAAAGGACCAAGGCAGTGACATCTCCAGCTCATCCCTTGTTTGGGTATCAGCCAGCATGTCATGACATCCGCCAGGAAGTAGCAGCCAATAGTGAAAGGCACAAGGCAGAGACATCTCCAGCTCATCCCCTGTTTGGGTATCAGCCAGCACGTCAACGACTTAAATCTAGAAATAGTTTTCTAAGATCTATAGAGACACTCGCTGGAACACCTCAGCAAGCGAGAGTCCAAAAGTGGCAGGCTCAAACCCAGAACCTCAACCAATGGCTGATACCAAATGAGAGACTCCCCCCTGGGCACACAGAAAACTGGGCGACTTGGAAGGCGTGAACAGACTGCGTTCTGGCACCACGAGATGTAGAGCCAACCTTCAGAAATGGGGCCACAAAGTGGAATCCACGACATGCAAGTGTGGAGAAGAGCAAACTACAGACCACCTGCTGCAATGCAACCTGAGCCCTTCTACATGCACCATGGAGGATCTCCTTGCGGCAACACCAGAGGCACATCACGTGGCCAGATACTAGTCAAAGGACATTTAATCAACTACCAAGCTTGCAAACTTTGTGTTTTGTCTGTTTGTTTGTTTTGTTCTGTTAGAAATGTAATACAATTGTCTGGTTGCCCCTGACACGATAAATAAATACTGTGACTTGCAGAAAACCATATTTAATAGGCCTGGGTAACAGCGGAAAAATTTGTTTCTAAAATCGATTTGTATTTGGGGGGTTTTTTTGTTTCGATATTTAAAATAATTACAAAATTTTCCTTTTAAAAAGTTCGATATTTACGAAATTTCGTAAATGGTAAAAAATTAACGAATCGATTTCCGAAACAATAACGAATCGATTCGTTAATGGCGGACGCGACCGCGAAATACGCTAAAAAACTCCAAAACCTTCTGAAGCTTCCCTCTCCCTCTGTTGTTGACTGTTGGTGTGATATTATAATTTTTTTTCACTAATTAAACCATAAAACTGGCCCAGACATGCGGAAATAATAACGAAACGACCTCAAAACAATAACGAAACGAATACAATATCGAAATACGAAGCATTTACAAAACGTTTTTGAAAATTCGTTTTTTTTTTAATAATTGCTCCAGAATGGTTCGTTATCGTTTTGTAATTGAAAAAATTAACGAATTATTAACGAATTACGAATTAACGAAACGAAACTGCCCAGCCCTAATATTTAATAATCCAGAGCTGATGTGGTAGTAGTAATATTTCGTGGGTAGTGTCTTTCCCCTCCCAACATCCCCGTTGCCTTGGTACTATAAGAGGGTTTTGCGAGACCAGTCGTTCTTTTTGTTTGGTTGTGAGTCAATTGTCTAGTAATGGTGAGGCCATGGACCATATTTTTGTTCTTGCAGACCACTGGGGGTCCACGGACCACAGGTTGGAAACCATTGTTTTAGATGGCCCTCCAGATGCTGATGGATGCTGTGATGCAGTAACATCTGGAAGGTTGCAGTTTGCTCTGCTTAGTCAGGAGAGTGGGGTTTGAATTGAGATACAAGTCTTGTGTCTGACTTTAAAATGCTCTTTAATCCTTCCTCGGTGCCACAAGTGCTGTCGGGTTGCAATTCCCATCATAATCAATCCACATGGTGAATCACCTCATTCAATAACATCTGGTCACCCAAGCTAAACGCACCAACCACTATGTTAAAAACCCTAAGGCTGATGGTGGCACTGGAGGAAAATTTGACACCCCTGTCCTAATACAATGAGATGGGATGTAGGTGAATAAATGAAGAGTAAGGCCCTCTCTCACCCTAATACATTGGTATTTATGTCACCCCTCAAATTTGTAGCACTGCAGAGGGGAAGACACCAAAAATTGTTCATAGCTAAAATTATAACACTGTGCAGTGCTGTTCTTGCTTCAGCGGTGCATAGTATGTATTTTCTAAATACTCAAAATGTACATTAATTCACAATGGAAGAAAACTTTGGGAAGAGAGGAAATTTGATGATCAATGTCCTCATTTTGTCTGCTTCCCCAGTCATTAGAAAAATAATGATCAGGGACTGGGATTACTACCTGTTCTAAAAGAGATACTCATAACTTGAATATCTTGAGCCTAGCATTGCTTCTGGTGTTCTTGTGGGCAGGGATACCTTATGCCAGTTTTGGTTGGTGGGAAAGTTGAGCCCCACCCAGAGAAATTAGCTTCCAGTTAAAACAAGTACAACATACCGTACTCTAGGACAGTGGTTCTCAACCTGTAGGTCCCCAGATGTTTTGGCCTTCAACTCCGAGATCCTAACAGCTGGGATTTCTGGGAGTTGTAGGCCAAAATACCTGGGGACCCACAGAGAACTACTGCTCTAGGACAAACATCATGTACTGGCCTTGAGTGATTCTGGCAAAGCAGGGTTCACATCCCTGTTCAGTTATGAAAACCCACTGGGTGATCTTGGACTAGTCACACTTTCTCAGCCATTGTGGTAAACCTCTGTATAAATATTGCCAACCATATGATGGTTGACATGCACCAATTGTCTTGGCCTATGAACTTCTGTGTTCTTCACAAAATCTGCAAAAACACAGCCCAGCTGTTGTCTGCTGTAGGACACATTTTGAATAATTTATATTGTCTTTCAATCAGCTGGTTCAGAATTCAGTTCAAGGTGCTGGTATTACCTTCAAAACCAAGGGCAGAGATAGCTGAGCTTAATCAAAGGGGTGGGAATGCATTGACACTCGAGACTGAAACATATATCCAATGCAAGATGGCACTGCACTAAAAGGTTACTATTCACCATTTTGTTCTGGCTTGCAACCTCAGATGCAGTTATTCTGGGCTTACTTCTGAGCAGATGTGCAGAGAATTACATCTATTTCTCACCATGTTTGCTACCAAGGACCAGAAACAGCCTGAGTCAAGTAACTGTCCTACAACTAGGAGAAAATCCTGAGATGATGCCTCTAGCCATACTCCTTGTATTCTTGAACAGTGTTTATGTAGAAAAGAAGGGGAGATAGCAGAACAGGTCCCAGCCATTTTACAGAAAATGTTCCTGTACCTCAAGTCAAGTTGCACAATTCATAAAATTAGCTAAGTTGTTTTGGAACAGAAGGGTGAATTTCCCATAAGAATCTATACTCTGGTGGTTTTAGCATAGTAAATAATAAACAAATTGCCCTTCTTTCCTGGTATCCAGACCCTGTTCCAGGAAGTATTCACTCCCTCCCCTCTATCTAATGGTAGAGCCAGTCCTAGGAAAATGACACTT